CTGGTGTGTCTCAGGAAGCTCGAGCATCTTGTCACTCCCACCAGCCCAAGCTAGCCATCTCCTGGAAGTTACTGGTCCTGCTGCAGAAACATTGCATTTCCTCTCACAGCAGCTGCTCCACCACTGCAGTTTACAGCCTTGTGGTTTAAAGGAAGCTGAAGAATTTAGGAACATTTAACTCTAATAGACACAACTCTAAACTGTTCCTCTTCAGCCACTGTTTCACTGCTAGTGAAGCCACGCGTGCGGTGAGGATGGAGATCCCTAGGAAGGTCGTGGCAGAACCCAGGCTGGTTATCCCACAGTGGGGTATCTCCAGCTGTGAGTCAGAGTCCCTCACCCACAGGGAAAAGGCCTCGGGTGCAAACAAAGCTTCTGTTTTGTAGGAAAGTTGGTGCATCACCTGTGCAGGCATCGTCTGTGCTTAACAGTGCTTGGAAGCTACATCCAGGGATGTAGAAGGAGGGAAACCAGAAGGGAAGAGGCATCTTGCTGTGGTACAGCGCACGGAGCAGAATGGTCCCAAGTCCCAGGTTTTGCTGGGAGTCTGTGGGAGCTTTGCATTCAGACTCAGTGCTGGAGGGAGTAAAAGAGGTGGGACAGACTCTGGTGAAAATCCCCCTGGTACAGTATGCAGAGGTAGAAATTGGTGGGTTATATTGTGCAGTTCTGAGCTAGCGCAGGTTTTCTTGGGGCTTATCCAAGGCTCTGACTTCAACCAGTGACAGCAAAACCGGCCTGGGTCACAAGAGCTAGGTGGGGAATGGTGGCATGCAAGAAACCCACTGAATCCTCTTATGGGCAGAATGGGAAACAGGCAAATTACTGTCGAGGTCTTGGTGGATCAAGGATATTTTACTTGCTACTTACATATCCTTGATTCCCCTCTGATGGATTTCACCTAGTTAATGTTATGTTTTCACTTTTAATATTTACTCCCTTTGTTTTATGCACTGACTCAGTGTTTCCAGATGGGAAAGTATGGCTTTTCTTAAGAACTTGGGAGAAGCTTTTTTTCCTCCCGACTTCCTGGAGGAAGACAGGCCAGTCAAGCCTGTTTTAGATGGTAATTTTACCAAAACCGGAACACTGCTGCTTGTCATAACATCCGGCAGAAAGGTTACAGCTGCACCACTCGTGAGTCACCTTAAGAAAAGGTTTGTCTTATGCAATTTGGGAAAAGAAGTATGTGGTCGTGTAATTTAGGAATTTAAGAGAATGTGTGTGCCTCTGAGCAGAATTATATTGCATTGGCAAAGTTAATGTTATTATTTATTAACTTTAATGGCATGATTTTGCCTCTTTTAAATGACTATTTTAATATAATTTCTGACATAGTTTCAGTGAATTGTAAAATACATTACCTGGCTGTTTCATCTTACGAATTGTAAAAACAATACAGATCTAGGCAAATGCAATCAAATGCTATATGTGTATTCAATGTAAATATATACATCAATATCACCAGTCTTCTGCATAAATAGTTAGCATTATGCAGATACGTGTCCATATAAAATGCAGCTACCTTTTTATTTAACTATCTTCTGCAATCTTTTTCTTGATTAATAGGTATATGTCCTCTAAAGAATTATTAATATTCACACATATATTAATTTACCACTGCTACAGACAAGTTGAGTCAGGTTTATATGAAAATATACAATTCCCTTGCGATGAAATGACATGCATAATATATCAGCCCACACTCATTTTACTTCTGCCATGCCCATTTTAAAATACGATTGTGACATAAAGGGTCACTTGCAGGGTCTTTACTTTGCCCAGTTTGGAGAAGAAAACATCTCTCCATGATTTGTTGTGTATCTTTCATCACTGTTTTCCTGGTTCTCAAAATTCCAGTTAGAAACATCATACTGTGCTCCCAAGAGACATCAGAAGTGAGATGACATGCTGTTTTCTTTCTCTATCCATTCTCAGTTTGACAAAGAAAACAGACTAGGCATGTTCTTCCAGTAAAGCCTTTATCCTAACTACAATGAAGTCAGTTATGATTCATCTGTAGGTGTTTCTATCCCTTGATAATATAAAGGAGCCTTTCAGCTGAGCTTTGCTAACACACTTTGCCTATGGCCTGTTGAAACTTGAACAATTTCTTTCCTGGCCAAAACAAATTCTGGAGCGTGCTGCGCTGATTGTAAAGGGTAGGGATTGTAATGGAGTTTACATTTTCATTTATAGTCTGGTCCTGGTATAGCTGGTCCGTGAAGAGGGGGGGGTTTCTAGAGCACTAGTGACAGGTCTTTTAGCTTGTATGGTGGTATTTTGGTCCTGGCTTGTGGGCAGTAGCTGGATTAAGGGTCCTGCCTGGCATATGCCTTGAAACTCCTTTCTGTAAGGGTCTTAGATCTAACTTGCTCCAGAGCTAAGTCTGATGAACAGTTGCTCTTACATGAAGTTCACTTGGTAAATAAAGAGGTAGTTACGAGTTCTTAGTCAAGTTCTTGCTTACAGTAGTGTTCCCATAACAAAAACCAGCAAAACAATGCACTCTTACTCCTGCTGGTAGCCTGAGAGGGGCACAACATTGACTAGGCCACTAGTTTTTCCCCTAAAAAAGGGGTCTCTGAAGCATCAGATGAGGAGCAGTGGCAGCAGCCCTGTGCCCACCAGGTTGCGGCAACAGAGTGGACTCTGGCAAAGTGGTCTCTGGACAGGATGAGCAAACATTTTTTTTTCCATGCAAAAGTTTTGGAACAGTTCTCATGTGAACTTTCCATCTTCTACACCCTTTGGATTTTGCTCCTAACTTTTAAAAGGGAGGGGGAAGAGGGGAAGAGGGGAGGCAGACGAAAATCTTTTTCCCAAAAGTCAGCTGATTTCCCGAAAATGCCTAACACAGACGAGATCTATGCGCTCCCTCGCGCAGCCCGAGCCAAGGGGATTGTGCAACTCCTTCTGGAAATTCCCCTTCCTGCCGAGAGCCGGCAAGCCGAGGATCTCACCCCAGCCGGGCGGCTGGGAAGCCGCATCCCGCAGGTAGAGGGTGCTGCGATACTGCGAGTTAGAGGTCTCTTCCCCAGCCTCGGGTACGTTTGGAGGAGGGTGTGAACAGGAAGAAAAAAGAAAAAGAGAAAGAAAGAAAAGAGAAGGGAAGAGGGAAGAAAACCAGACACGAACTAGGGAGAGAAGGTAAATATTGAAAGCGTTAGAAATGGGAAAGGAAAATATTTTTGAGCATCGCTGTCTGACAGCTAGAAGAGTTAGGACAAGTTGCTCCCCAACCCCAGGGTCTTAGCATAATTTTTGGGGTGCTGGGAAGAATGGATTGGGTACTTCTGGGGGGGGGGGAGGTGCTTTCTATCTTAATTTGCTGCGCACCAGCATGGTGTTTGGAGACACAGATGATTCTAAGGGGATAACATAAGTACCAGAGAGTGCCAAGAGATCATCTCTCCATTTTGTCAGTACAGAGCCTAGCATCCCTTCTTGGTGCTTGGGGCTGCTGTAGGCAGGAAGAAACAGAGATATAAACTTGCTTTTGAAGCAAAACATTGACGTATTCTCCACAAGCTGGGGTTTTAAGGTCTTTGACCTGCCTAGCAGACACACAGAAGCACAGGCAATGTTAATCAATCACACTGTTTTTTTGTCCCAGACCATAACTCCAAAGTCCAATTCCTGAAAGTTTTCAGAAAGGAAGATCTGCTTTTTCCAGATGTGGTGAGTTACTGAATCTCCAAGCGGAACTCAGGTTTATTAATAATTTCATTTTATAAATTAGGTGTTTTTCCTGTAGTACTGTACTGATTATCAAATCTGAATGCATCTATAGCCCAAGTAGCCTCCAGAACAAGGCAGTGAAGTAGGGAATAGCACTTAAGACCCCTGTGTTCATCTCCTGCAGCATTACCAGCTCTTATAGAGCTGGAGAGGAGCAGAGAGCATGACTGAGGTTGTACTCCTTGTGTGTGAAAGGCTACAGGAGAAAGACAAGCCCCACACAACCACAGCGCTGGTCATCAAAACTCCAAAGCCAGGAGCTATGCTGAATGCTATGTACAGCCAAAGACTAGCTTTCTCACTGGGGACTGTGTGCTTATGTGGACAGAGAAGACTACCACAATGTCATCTTCCTTCCTCTTTCCTCAGGTACCTTATCTTCTTCTGTCTCCCTGTCTGGGCTGATGAAGCCTCCATGTATGGTGAGATCTTGTCACCCAATTATCCTCAGGTGTATCCCAATGATGTGCAGGAATCTTGGGAAATCCAGGTCCCTTCGGGATATGGCATTCGCCTTTATTTCACACATATGGATCTTGAACCATCACAGAACTGCGAATATGACTTTGTGAAGGTACTGTCCCCATCCTCAAGTGAGAAAAAGACAAGAAAGTGGGTTAGAGCACAGGACAGCAAAGCTATGTTACAAAGCTCAGGGCTGGAAGAGGAGATAGACACATCCTTCCTGTTCTGAGCTCCAAGAAGCCAAAATGATTTAGTGTATCTGCACTAGCAGTCACTAAATTAATTTAAATTTGCCTCACAACCACATGAGCATTGTCTGCCACCTGAGTGTCCCATCTGTGCCCCCCTCCCCATTCTCCTATATTCATAGGAAAAGCCTTCTTAGCCATCACTGACACCCCCATATTGCAAGGCATATTCTTAGCCAATGAACTGTAGGTATAAAAGGACCATTTTCTTAGGGCATTGCTTTTCTGTCCCTGAAATTATTCAGAATTAATCCATGAGCAGACATAGATGATTTAATGCAATCAGAAATTGATTGGAGATGGTGAAGGTTAAAAACAATCAAGAGATCTGTGCATGGATTGTGGCCATTCAGATAAAGTGCTGTGGTCCTTTGCACCACAGTTTTCTATGATCTATGCACCACAGATTTCTTAAAACTTAAAGACCCACTAGCTCTGCTCCATGTTGTTCCACAAGTCACAAAAGTTCAAGCATTTCCACACAGACAGAAAGAAGATCATCCTATCCTTCAATAGCCATGGGTGAAAAGGGGCACTGAGATCAGGTGCAGCACCAGAAGGAGACCTTGGAGAAGTACCAAGGTGGGACAGTAGGATGGATGTGCTCTGCTGGGAGCTGTAATAACGTGTCCTTCTGCAACAAACTGATGAACCTGTTAAGACTGCTCTGCAGACCGTCAGTGATTGGTTTTGCCATTTTGAACCATGGTGTTGATTTTTTTGTACAAGTGGGCCTGAGGAAAGGATGTTAACAGAAAACTTTCTGGATTAATTTGTATCTGAGAAATTAAGACAGGTATTTCACAGCTGGGAAGTCAGTAGTGTTTTACAAATGTCGTGAAACTGGTTTTCTAGGGGCTCCATTCAGCTGTACCTTGGCTGGGTGTCTTCCACCTTGGTCCTTCCTGCTAGCTATGTGACATAGCTGTGCCCTGGGAGATCTACCTGGATGTTGTGAGAAATGCATTCTTTTGTTAGCCACCTATAAGCTGAAAGACTCAAGTGTTGGTAATTACATATTCCAGTAATGGGATAAGACCTCTCTGCATTCTTCTGCAGATCCTGTCTGGTGGCCATGTTGAAGGTGTGCTTTGTGGGCAGAAAAAACCTCGTGCCCCTGGCTCCTCGATTGTGGAGGAATTTCATGTCCCTTATAACACCCTCACTGTGAGCTTCCAATCAGACTTTTCCAATGAGGAGCGTTTCACCGGTTTTGTGGCCTACTATGTTGCTGTGGGTAAGGTTAAAACAGCCTCCTTTGACTCTCTGTAGTGTCCAGGATAGTGAGGGAGGAAAGCTGACAGAATGCCTTATTTAAAAGAGATTCCATCAGACAGGAGTGCTTTCCAATATGGCCAGTATAAATGCTGTCTTACAGATACCTTTTCCTTGTCCACCAGTGTTTGCTTCACTCTCTCGTCTTTCTCTGGCCCTTAGGGCCCTCTCCTAGTCTTGGCTGATTTGTCTTTCCACACTTGCAGACTTGGATGAGTGCATGGATTTTGTGGAGGAACCTTGCAGTCATTATTGTAATAATTATATTGGAGGTTACTTCTGTACCTGTCCACCAGATTATTTCCTCTATGAGGATAAGAAGACATGTGGAGGTAAGGATCTACATGAGCTGTGGTCAACAGCAAGAGTTAATTTAGGCCAAGTGAGATATTGTACATGGAAGACCTTCTCTGTCAAACTTCTCAACCAGTTGTGACAGATATATTTGGGGGAAAAAATCATCCCATCCCAGTGCAAACCTAGGGAATTTCTATTAGCATATTCTTAACATTTTTCTTTATTGTGTCAAGAGAATTAAGAAACTATTAAATGACATTCTTTAAGGGCTGTGATCCATACTGCTATCTGCGAATCTTTTAATCTCTGACAAAATAGGGCAGTTCAATAAAGACACAAAAATGGCCAAGGGGCTGTTTGGCTTGAATCAAAAAATTGCAAAGTCACAAATGGTGCATGTTGAAAGGAGGACCTGAGCATGAGGGAAGAGGGCCTAAATTGCAGGCGGAAGGTAAAAAGAAAGGCCACTAGAAGTTGAAGTCCCTGGCTAATTGCGTAGAGAGTGGCCCTGGTTTCAGTTTCTTGGAAAGATGCAGTGTTGTGATGTGGTTAATGCAGGTGACTGGGGAGACTGGAGATGTAGTGGAAGAGGGAAAGCTTGTCAGCTTCATACATGGACCATTTTCTTTCTGACTCCTACCTGTGTTCCTTCCTTAATTCTAGTGAACTGCAGTGGAAATGTCTTCACTGACCTATCGGGGGAGATTGCCAGCCCCAACTATCCCAACCAGTACCCAGAGAACTCACGGTGTGAGTACCGAGTGGCTCTGAGGCCAGGCTACTTTGTGGCGTTGACCATACGTAGCGGGGACTTCGATGTGGAACCAGCTGACCCAAAAGGGAGTTGCCACGACAGCTTAACAGTAGGTGTGGGGCTTAGGGCGGGAGTCAGGATGCTCTGGATCTCCCCTTAATCTCCTCATATTCAGAAGAGCCTCTGACTGCTTAACTTTATTTTCAACTATGTTGCCTTTTGAAGTTCTTGGGAATACATTTAAATATGTATATATTGAATATCTATTTTAATATATTGCTGAATACATTTGGTATTTCTCATTTCTTCTTGTTTGTTATTTTTCCAGTTTGTCTCTGGAAAGCAGCATTTTGGTCCGTATTGTGGAAACAAATTCCCAGGTCCTCCTGAAATCAAAACTAGGAACAACATTCTTGACATAATCTTCCAGACAGACCACGCAGTACAGCACAAAGGCTGGAAAATACGCTACTATGGGGATCGTGAGTAAACACTTGGGAAAGCATTCCCTCTACTGCTGAGTTAGGGAGACAGTTTGTCCCATGTCAGATTCATGGTACAACAGCATATTAACATGTTCACAACTGCTAGTATTGAGTAAACAGAGGATGCCTGTTTACTACAGAAAATAATCACTGGAGAGAAAGAAGTTGGGAGCTGGAAGGAAAGCAAATCTTGAACCAGTTAATCACTTATCTCCACCTATCTCTTCAAAGCTGTAACCTGTCCCCTGAGTGTCATCCCCAACTCTGTTCTTGCCCCAAAGAAGGACAGGTATATCTTCAAGGACAATGTGAAGGTCACCTGTGTGGAAGGCTATGAAATTGTGAGGGTAAGTTACATAAAAAGCATATATCCTCTCTGGCCCTCTCAGCAACTTCCTGATGGCATTTCCCATCAGGTGTCCTGAGCACCTTTGGGGGCTTAAAGTTTTCACCACAGCTGTAGTAAGTGGAAACTTCTTCCAGCCACTGTAGCATTTTGAGGACCCTCGACTGGAGTGCCTGTGTCAGATATATTTCATGGGCAGTGACTTACATGGATCATGTGTTCTTTTCCCTAGCAACGAGACAGCATCCTGACTTTTCACTCCAGTTGTCAGGACAATGGTGTGTGGAGCAACTCCCATTTCAGCTGTGTTCGTAAGTGACCCGTCTCTGTATTGCAGGAAGCAGACTGGAATGGAGCCTTTAGGCTCTAGATCCACTATGTCTTCAGATTAGGAGAATGCTGAAGGACTGTGATGTGAGCATGCAGAAGGGACAGAGGAAGTGAGCGCTGATGACTGTACAGGGACCAGAGGAGCTGAGTGGTTCCCCGTCATGCAGAATAATCATATTGTTGGGTGAGGATGCTGCTTTGATGATATTTGTTTGGTTTTGTTTCTTCTCTACAGCTGTGAACTGTGGCGATCCCATTCCTATTGACAATGCCCAAGCTGTATATGTCTCCGAACTTCACGAGCCTCTGTACAAAGCTGCTTTCCAGTATCGGTGTGATGCACCTTACTATACCCTAAAAACCAAAGGGGATGGTAAGCATTGCCTCTGGTACACAGATTTCTTTGATTAAAGTCCTAAGAAAAGGTACTGGCATCGTTACGGGGCTGGGATTATATCCCATCAGGTCAAGACTGGGAAAAAGTTCTTACTGGTGTGGGGTTGCAGGCAGTAGTTCTGTATTGCCTTTCTGTTTAATATACTCTAAAATTAATGTCTGTACTTGGGCTGTTGACCTTAAATGCATTAGCAAGTCCTCTCTCCATTTGCCTGGTGTGTGAACCATGGAAATTTTTGTCACATCTAGCACATGTTTCTGGTGGAGAAGTAAAGGACTCAAGAAATCTATTAGATGAGGTGCCTCCAAAATAGAGGCAGAAGCACCCTGGTAGGGTTTTGTACTTCTAGGGATCTCAGCAATATTTACCAAGCTGTGCTTGCTTTGGAAATTAGAAGGTTAATATTACAATCTTACACAGTAATGCTGCTTACACTCTTCATCTTGATTGTATCCTTATGACACTCTTTTTTCTTGTGTTTTCCAAGCGGTGTATCAGTGCTCAGCTAGTGGAGAATGGGTCAACAAAGAGATGGGAACAAAGCTACCAATATGCGTCCCAGGTACTACCAAAAACTGTGTATATGTACATATGGCATATGAAGACCACTGCTTCTTTCATCACTCTGTTTTTAAACTATTAAGCCCGACAGTACAATTCATCCTTTCTATGTTGTTTGAATCACACTGGACAGGGTATTTCTGAAAGCTGTGGGCCCCAAAGAAAGGTCAGATGAGGCAGCAGAAAGAAATCGGAAACAAAAGTGGGTAACATAATAAGATATCTAGTATAATGTGACCTCTTCAAGTATGTGTGTTTCTGCACCAGTTTCTCCACCTTCAGTTGTGCACATTCTCAAGTTGTTCAGTGCTTTAGATCTCTGTCTGCATTGCAGGTAGCAAAAAGACTGACAGGTCAAAAGAGATGTCCAACAATGCTGGTCCCTCTCAAGCTACATTGAGAGATGTAGCTTCTCTTCAAACATCTCCTGGAGGTGGTGCCCAGCTGTCCACTGGGCACTACAGATGCAGCACTATAGGGAAAGGTCTTTCGCTACTCTCACTGGAAGTCATAGCCTAAACCCTTAAGGCTTAATGCATCCTTCAGTATTCAACTACATTTACCATGCCTGAAAACTCAAGCAAGATCCCTGTCAAGGATCTTCTCATCCTCTCTTTGTGTACTTGGGAGATACTGAGGAGGGAAGTGCATGGGTACTACACCTGCTCCTGGCTGCTGGTAATTATGGCTGGGTCTTAACTTCGAGCTGACAGAGAGAATTTTAAATCCTATGTATTTTACACACTGTTCAGCTTACCCTCTCAGAGGAGGTAGCATGCCTAGGCCTAGTTGTACATAATGCCTGTTCACTACTCCAAACCCCCAAATCCTCACTGGCAAAGTATAAGATCCAACTGAAGATGATTCAGCCTTCTTAAGGGCCAGCTCAGCCAGTGACTTGGACTATACAAGTGCACAGTGCAAAAGGCAAATTGTAAGATAAAGCTCAGGGAATTTACTATCCAGGAGGAGGTTACAAAGAATATGAAGCCAGACTCTTCTCAGCAGGACACAGCAATAAAAGACAATGACAGGCACAAGTTGCAGCAAAGGAAATTCTGACTATTTACGGAAAGATGCTCCCCCAGAGCACTGGAACTGTTGTCCAGAGAGGCTGGCTAATCACCATCCTTGCAGATGATCAGAAGTCATCTGTCGAAGTGCCTGAGCAACCTGGCTTTGCAATTAGGAGGGCAGGGGGAAGGGCAGTTAGGGATGAACAGGTTGAACTAGAGACATCGAGAAGTACCTTCCAGCCTAAATCTTCCTATGATGACATGAAATTCTTTAACAAATGCTGCTTCATTTAAATTGGAAGCTACCTACTGGCTATAGTTCCTTAATCTCTGACTATACGACTACGAGTTCAACGTAGACAAGGCAATGTGATAAGAAATCAATTTCCTAGCTATGTCAGAATGACCAGCCTTATTAGTGCTCACATTCTGCAAAACTTTATATAACATTTTACTCAGAGAGCACGGATCTTCTCTACACCCATAAGACCCACATATAAGATCTCCATTAACCCACTGCTTAAGATTTTACATACTAAAAGAATGGAGAGGAAAAATAGTAAAACATCAGTGACAAACCTGAACACTTAACCTGAGACTAGCTGGAGTTCACAAAAAAAATTAAAATTTAAAGAGCAGTGTCATATTTCTAAGAACTCAAGCAAATATTTTTTCAAAGACAATCCCTTCACCTACAGGACATAATTCAGCAAAGGAAAAATGCTAATTAAATTGTGAGCTTTGACATACCCAAGACTGGCGGGGTGACAACTGTTTTCCAGAACAAGAATTTGAGAATGAGTATTTTCAGCCTAAATTGAATGTTGATAGTAGTTTTGCTTGAATTTTCTTGAATTTCTCTGTAAATAATAGTTGCAAATTCTATGACATAGAATAGAAACATTGGCTACTCAGAATCAAAAATTATTTAGAGGACACAGGAAGAAGGGGAATACAGGCTTTTTAGCAGTACCCAAGAACCCCCTACTTGTAACCACTAATTCTCCCACCTGATTCCTCTTTTTTTCTTTTCTTTCCAGTCTGTGGGGTGCCTAGTAAACCTGTCCAAGAGAAAGCAAAGATTTTTGGAGGCACCCTTGCAGAAAAGGGCAACTTCCCCTGGCAGGTGTATTTTGAATACCCAAGAGGAGGTGGTGTACTCATCTCTGAAAGATGGGTAATGACTGCAGCTCATGTGCTAGAGGGATATGACAAGCCTAACATGTTTGTTGGGACAATCAATGTTGGTAGAGAATCTCTGTATCGTGAGGCCAAGCAGCTGATCCCAGAGGCTTCATTCATCCATCCTGATTGGAAGCAGCAGCCCATAGAAACCAGGACCGATTTTGATAATGATATTGCGCTACTGAAGCTGAGGGATCCTGTGAAGATGGGCCCAAACATCTCCCCGCTCTGTCTTCCTGGTAAATCACCCGAGTACGAGCTGCAAGAAGGGACTCTGGGCTACATTGCTGGCTGGGGCCAGAGAGAGAGAGGAAGACTGCCTATTTATCTTTGGAAGGCCCAGATTCCCGTGGTGGACATGGATAAGTGCCGATCTGTGAAACCAGAGGGCTCTGCTGATTCCAGTGCTTACAGTTTCACTGACAATATGATCTGTGCTGGTGGTGACAAGGACAGCTGTAAGGGGGATAGTGGTGGAGCCTACGCTATCCAAGATCCTCTTGATGACAGACGGTACTATGTGGCTGGGCTGATCTCCTGGGGACCCAGATGTGGTACCTTTGGTCTTTACACCAAGGTAGTGCGTTATTTGGACTGGATTACAGAGACCATGAGCAAGCATGAGGATGCAGAAGCTTGGCAGGATTAGCTCTTTCTCCTTTCAGCACCGTCACCTTTTCTGAATGTGATGTGTACATGTTCAGGCTCGCTGTGATCCTGTTCGCTCTGCGTACGTGCCCACTCATTGTGTCTGTGCTGAGCAGAGAGTCAGGAATATGTATCTGTTTCTCTCAGCGTCACTGTGTCTGGGAAGAGAAATTATCTTTCTTCCACTCACTGTAGCATAAGAGGAAGATGCTGTTCTGGATAAAGAGGCTCCTTCTGCTTCCTCATTTTTTTCTATCCCATTTTTTCCCACTCAGAGAAGACCTAGCCATGCCCCACCTGACAGGGAGATTTTAATGAAGACAAGAGAGAACAGTTGTTGGTTCTGAGGGCAGGTTCAGAGCCTGGTTTCTGATTTATGTATTTCCTGTATTATTCAGAATATCTACCAGCAGTAAAGAGTGTCCAAACTGCCATTTGTGCAATGTGCTATTGTGTGTATTGCTTTTCTTCTTCTCAGTCTAGACCTAGTTCTCCTTGGCTCTCCCTAAATCAGGTGTCTAGTCACATTTTGACCCACTATGGTCCCAGCTTTTGTCAAGCTCTTACTTGTGCTACCTCACTTCTCTGCCTAAGAGTCTAATGAGATGGTTGCATCTCATTGACCAACTATTACCAGCAAAGACGACTTCAGACTTCTGAATCAAGCTGAGCAGAAGAGACATCTTCAAAATCCTTTCATTCACCTGTCCTCAGAGCTTTATTTTTCAAATTTTATTGTGTTAGGTAAGAAATAAAGCTTGTTTGATTTAGTGAAGGTAGTGTCATGGGAGACGATTACCTGATGTGTTAGGGGTGTCTTCTGCTCCAGAAAGTCCTGTATCACTCACAGGTACCCTTCCACTAAGATGGTCAGGGAACTGGTGCAGATGGCATATGATTAAAGATGGAGGAAGCTGGGTTTGTTCAGCTTGAAAAGGGGGAGGCTAAGAGGGGGCTCTAACTGCTGTATTCAGATAACTAACAGAGGGCTAGAGAGTGCACAGAGCAGGACTCTTCAGAAAGGTGAACAGTGACAGGACAATAGACAAACTGCAATAAGGGAATTTCCAGTTGGGCTTTTTCCCAGGGTGTGGGTCAACACTGGAACAAGTGCCATAAAGGACTGGGGAATCTCTGTCCCTGGACGTCTTCATAACTTACCCAGGCAAGGCCCTGAAGCTCTGAAGTTAGTCCTGCTGTCAGCAGTGGATTGGACTGGAGACCTCCTCTTCCAGCCCAAGTTTCTGAGACCCTAGGAAATGGTGAGGAGGATGTGTGCAGATCTTGGGAGATTCCATACAGATTCCTGCACTCAGCTCAAGCACCTTCAATTTTGTGTAACAAGAAAAACGTTTTTTTGTTGTTGGGCTGGTGACCGAGGACCTTACACTACATTCCTGATGAACCGTGACCCACAGGATGTTGAATGCTTTTTACTTTTATGTATGTATGTATGTGCCAACTTTAATCTAGTATGAAGTTTTATAGTCATTCCTTCTTGTTGCTAAGTAGGTGGACTCATCTCAGCTTTCACCTTTTGCAGCGCAAAAGGGAAGCGTCCATCCCTGGTAACTAGGCCAGGCTGCAATCGTAGCCCATGTTCCTCTTATGCAAACAGGTGACTATATATTGGCAAAGAAACAATAATGATGCAGTGGTGCCACTGTGACAATATTTTATAACTTCACAGTATGTATTAGAATTTCATAAATCATACAGACATGCCCAAACATCTGGAGTAATCATAAGCAAAAGCCACTGGAAATCTTACAGACTGCTACGTCTGGTTATTAGGAAGCTTCTGCTTTTGTATGTGATGGATGCTGCAGCAGCAGGGA